TGGAAAATGAGCTAGCTGATCTTTGGGCTGGGCGATGGAATGTCATGGCCTCTCTTCCTGATGGTGCCTGGAACCGCATTTTTGCCTTTGCCAGGGACTATACTGCCACTTTGCCTTTGCGATTTGAGAGATTTACTGCTGAACACATTGCGTCCACTCTCAAGAAGAGTAGTGGGCTGAAAACCCGTGGGCCAGATGCCTGGAGCAGGGATGACTTGCTGGCACTTCCCAATGAGTTCAGGCTAGATCTGGCGAACCGTTTCACAGCAGTTGAATCCGGAGCTGACTGGCCGCAACAACTTTGCAGAGGTCATGTGACACGCATAGCTAAGGTCACTCAGGCCACTGAGGCAACGCAGTACAGACCGATAACTCTGTTCAGCTTGCTGTACCGAATTTGGGGTAGCTGCAGAGCTCGTGACTTGTTGACACAGCTTGAACCTTTTGCCAACTTCGACACCTTTGGCTACATCAAGAACCGTTCTTGTGTTGACTTGACTTATACCATCATGGTTCAGGTGGAAATAGCACTGCTGCAAGGGCTTTCATGCAATGGAGTCATGGTGGGCATCATTCGATGTTTCAATCATTTGTCTCCCAAACCGATACTCCTTTTAGGACGAAAGATGGGACTTCCCGTGCCAATACTGGTGGCCTGGGACAACTTCCTTCGAAACACCCGTCGTTCTTTTCGGGTGCAGGGATGATAGGGCGTGAAGTCCCCTCTGACAGTGGTTTCCCAGAAGGAGACTCAATGAGTTGTTTGGCTATGATTGTTGCGCTCTTCAGCTGTCACAGATATTTCCAAGTCTTTGAACCATCTATCTCAGCATACTCGTATGTTGATAACCTTGAGCTGGTTTCATCAGAAGTAATGCACCTGGTTCGAGGGCACCTCACGCTTCAAGCCTGGACAGAGATGATGACCTTGCAGCTTGATCACTCCAAAACACTTGCTTGGGCCGCCCAAGCTGCTGATCGTCGACTTCTGCAGCTTGCTGGCTTTGCCATCACTGAAGGGCCTGAGGATCTTGGTGCCAGCATGTGCTATGGCTCTCGCCATCGAAACAGAACCCTGCAGCAGAGAATCCTTTCCACCAAGGTCTTTTTTGAATCATACATGTTGCTCTTTTTCCACGTGCGCTGTTTGGAGCTGATGCTGCCATTTCGGGCCATCACTGGATCACCAAATTGCGGACCTGGACAATGAGATCTCTAGGATTTGCACGTCCCGGAGCCTCGCCATTGATCAGACTGGCTTGGATCTGTCCTGTGAACACGGACCCGGGTTTTGTTGAATGCTGGAACGCCTGGAGCTCTTTTCATCGGCAGCTTCACAAAAGTACTTTCATCAGGAAAGCCTGGATGATATTTGTTGAGACTGCTGGATCTAAGGGCACATATGGTCCTTTTGCCAAGATTTTTGCACTCAGTAGCACTTTGGGATGGAGCTTGAGTCATGATTTGGTTTTGCACATCTCTGACGGATGCCAGGTGCAGTTTTTGAGCCTTGACCGTGCCACTCTCAAGCATTTGGTCACTGAGGCGTGGTTTCAAGTGATTGCACGCTCGGTGCGCCTCAGGAAGGACTTCAGTGACCTTGAGGGCATTGATCACGCTGCAACATTTGGCGCCCGAACCGAACTTTCTCGAGCAGAGCAGGCATTGCTTTCGGGCGCCCAGGACGGCACCATGTTTTTGAACACCTTCATATCCAAATTTGATCCGAGTAGGACCTGTTTGTGTGATTTTTACGGACAGCAGGGCACGTTGGCTCATCGAGCCTTAACTTGTCCGCACTTCGTGTAGGTTGCTGGCACTGTTTTCCCTCAGCGCTCACGCATCATGGACTATGGGGCGCAAATCCTTGGATTGATGATTTTCGTTCTTTCTTGCTGCAAATTCCATGGGAGCCCACAGAATGGCATAGCAGTCCCTGTGGAACTGGGACTCAGCGCATCTTCACTGATGGAAGCTGCTCACATCCTAAGGTACCGTGTTGCGCCTTGGCTGCATGGGCTTGCGTCCACGAAGACAGTGGGCAAACGCTAGCCTCAGGACTTCTTCCTGGGCTGAGACAGCACAACAACAGAGCTGAACTTTTTGCTGGTTACGTGGCAGTTCTTTGGAGCAAGCACTTTTTCTGCGACGTGGACATTTTTACAGATTCTAGCTATGTTGTTCGCGGCTGGGACGCTTTGATGCGCAATCGACATGTTTACCTAGACTGCACCAACTCAGATCTCTGGGAGTTCAGGCAATGCTTGTTCATGAGAACACGGTTCGGCTTTACAAAACAGAAGCTCATCTGGACCAGACGCTTTTGACGGATGCCAATTTGGCCTGGCAGGTGTACTGGAATAGTGTGGCAGACCTTTCTGCCAAAACTGCCAGATGCACTGCCGGCTGCGCTCGCCTGCATCAAGTTCATGAGCGACTGATTAGGACCTATGAGTGGCACAAGCACTGGGCGCTCCGGTACAAGCCTTTCTGCTTTCACTGGCCCAACGGTCTTTGAGTCTTTGAGTACTTCCACTACTGAGAGTATGCATGATGATGACTCGGCTTTGAATCTGTTTAACTGGAGTTTTCAAAACCCAGGTGACTTTTTTGATGAGCTGCCTCTAGATTTAGCTTCCCTGATCTCCCAATCAGAGAAACTCCGTGATTTTTGCCTTCCCATAGCCTTGAATTTGGCTACTTGGCTTTCACGGCTAGATGCTGCGGCCACTCATTTTGCCCCAGTTTCATATCTCGAGATGTTTGTTGCTTTTTCGAGTGAGTTTGATGTTGTTTTGCCGGTTCAGGTTGGTGCTCGAAACAACTTACGGTGGCAAGATCCTTTTAGTAGGAGGGCTGGTGGGCTCCTTCAACGTACCTTGGTATCACAGGTGAAGGTTTTTAGGTATCTGTTTGATTCATTGTGTGTTGCCTTGGGTTTTGCTTTTGACGGTGCTAGTGTTAGCTATCCTCAGTTTCATCTTCACTTGTCTTTGGACGCTCGAGTGATACCTTGGCCCTCGTCTTTGGTGTCAGTCACCTTGGCGAAGTTGGGAGCTTTCTTCCTGGCAGGAGCAAGGCATTGGCCCTAAGATGGGGCTGAAGCTTTTTAGAGCGAGGCGGCTCTGCATTGCTGAGCCCTTCGTGTCGGCGACTTGTCCGAGAGGTGCGCCGTGTAACTAGTGGGCCTCGTAACTACACCTATCTTTCCCTTTTGTCCTTTGCTTTTCTCTTTCTGTCTTTCCCTTTCCTTTCTAAGGCTTTTTAGGTTGCTCGTAATCTCTTTCGAGCGCCGATATCGGCGCGCTGTGTGTGTCATACTCTGCCCCAAAGAGTTTTATGAAGAGCAGGGGGTCGCTGGGGACTCGTGCAGTCAGCGACCAACGAAGACGCTGCACGTTTCCTGTGATATGAGTCGAGGACGCTCGACTCACGTACCTGCAACAGTTTTGAACTTTTGAACACACTGTCCACTTCCTTTGTTTTGCTTCCATGGTCGTTGTCATGATACACCCCTAAACATGTCCTTCCGCTGCTTTCAGCCACTCGTGCGTCTCGGTCGCTGTGCAAACAATGTTCAACCTTTCAGTTCTGCCGATTTGCGCCATTCCGTTCCATCACTCCTTTTGACTTGGGAATTGATTGAGTTAACTGCAAGCCAATTTTCGAAGTGTGGGTGGGGTGGAAATCTAATGGAATGATTGGCCCATGACCACATCATCACATCTTACGATAGCAACATGAACGCCAGGCAGCGCGCAAATGCCTGCACACAATGCATCACCAGCATCATGGGTGCGGTGGTGTGGTGTGTGCTACGGGCAAATCCGGCGTCACAAGCAAGAGCCTCACCACTGTAGACCCTGAGGAGACCCTGAGGACACACTACAACAACACCCCCAAACCCGATGACCATGGCCTTGCCACATGGGATAATTCAATCTGACTTGTCTGTCTTGTCAGCCACGATGCACGTGTTGGTCATTGCTTAGGGTTCCCCGTTGAACATTATGGTTGATGGTTGACCTAGGTCAGTTCCGGTGGGCCACAGTTGCATCCCGAGCTTCGTCTCTTGCCGTGCAAGCCGCGGCCTCTTCAAGGACTTCAAAACAGGGATCTTTTTTGCCCATCGTTGCGGTTTGCTTGGATCTTTCTGGTTCAGCCGCGTCGATGAATATGGTGAGGACATGCGAGGACAACGTAATTCACCAACGTGGCAAGAAGGGCTGCCACACTGAAAGCATGCTATTTTTTTAAACATGTTTGTCGATGTCTTGCAGCCAACGAGGTGATGCCATGTGCATGATTGAACCTAAGAGCAAACTGTATTAGACCTCTCTTCCTTTTCTTATTTCTTTGTTTCTAACAACAACAGCCTCCAACCTATTGGCTGCCTTGGCTAGCTAGGCCTTCTGGGTTTCATTCCACAATCCTGGAACAAGTGTTCTGGTCTGCAACGTAACCCTGCTTTGTCCATAGCAGTGGGCTTGTGAGGGAATCCACCAGCACGATGAAATGCTTCTGCAAAGGAATGTCTCACAGCGTATGCTGTCCAGCATGCCCAGCATAATTCTTTGCGAAGAAATCCAACCATCAAAAGCTACCAGGAGCAAAGGGCATCGCTACTAGGAGCAAGGAGGCTACTAGTAGCTCCTGGCATTACTACTAGTAGCAAGACGCTACTAGGAGCAAGGACGCAACTGGGATCAACCCCCAGCTCAAAGCTCGCAGGATGTGAAAATCGGTTGCAGCGCTCTTACACCGGAAAAACATTATTCCAACACCTTGTCTTATTGCAAAGGGGCCAAATCAATCTTCCTTCGCCATCATGCCTCCCATCTTCCTTCGTTGCTCCTCCGCTCGTAGAGTCTTAAACCCTCTTGCTCTTGCGCTTCCCACTCTTCACAAGCTCTCAGGTTCGCTTTTCTGTCGCGTCTATTACATGTTTCCGGTCTGGCCGGACCAAACATCATCGATCCGTTGCTCTCTCGCCGAGAAGCTAAGTCCGCAGTGATGGCCGTGGACCGTGCCGTGGATGCGAAGCCGCAGTCGGTGGAGGCCATCACATGCTTCGGATGCCCGGCGGCACGGACGTAGCGCAGCAAATCCTCCGCGATGAGACGTGGATCTTCGACCCGTGCCGTGGTGGTGTCAATCAGCCCGGGAACGATGACCTCAAACTCAGGCGTTCTTCGACTTCAGTTCTCAATCCTGTGATCTTGATGTCTCTTCATGTCTTGTGACAGTCCACCTTTCCATGATGATCATGTTGCTTCCAGAAGATGGTAGGGCATAAGCAATAGCTTCCCACATTCTGGTTTGGGGTTCTAGTGACTTTTTGGTTGGTGTCCTACTCCTATTACTTCCTCTCCACTCCTCAACAAAGCTCGTGTCACAACATACCTTCCACTAGTTCCACACAAAGCTATTCGTGACACTGGTTTGCTACACATAAGGTTCTCTGATTCTTTGATGCTTCCTTTGTACTCAGAATCCTTATTGCTAGATATGTGCTTGCAGGTTCTGGCAGCTAGTTCGGACGCAAAGCGCAACCATCCAGGCATAAAACATGCCAAGTGTGTCACAAGTGTGTCAGCTGGCCGTCCCACCATGTCCAGGATACAATGGATACTCGGATTATCTGGTCGTTTGGGGTTTGACCATCCTTTAAGATGAGGGAACGCCAAGAGATTAACAGAAACAATTGTACAAAGCACAATCCGACCATCTGGTATGTGTCAAAGCGAAGCGAAAACAAATCTAGATGATTCTCTCTAAAAAAAATGGTAACGTTAGGGTTTCACAGGGCAAGAGCTGGTTCAGCGCTGTTCGGGGTTCCCTTGAGACATATGCGCGCCAAAAATGCTAAGAAGCGGCTCTTTCAGCACTATCAGGATCCCTCACGTGTGTTTTTTGTTTTTTGCCGAGAGGCACGGTAAAAACAGTATAAAATCAAAACGGTATTCTGATATTCTGTTTTAGGTGTCTCATGTATTCTCTACTCTACCCAAAACATATCAAATCATACCATTTTAACTGGCCTTCTTGTCGACCGAAAAATATCAATGTTCGGATTTTTTCTCTGTACCGCCGCTGGGAGAAAACACAAAGGCCTTTTATTTTTCACCTTTTCATCGACGTCACCTGGTGGCTCTTGAAGTAGCCCTTTTTCACCGCCGACTCAAAACACTGCACATCTGCTCGATGACGTCCATTTGCACCCTCCAGTAACAAGTACTTGGCCTTCACCTCCCCAAGCAACGGCCACAAGTGCTCTGCAGGCATATCCTCACAAAACCGACGCGTCAAATCTACAACGGATTAAGTTGTTTCTTAAATTTGCCCAACCCAAGCTTGAACACCCGCTCCATGCTTGAATCAATGATCCACTAAGCTTCCACCTACATCTTTAAAAACAATTAAAAACACATATGTAATGTGTTCAACGGATTCTTCACCCCTAAAAGAACAATGCACAAACCTCAGCCGCTCCTGATGATGTGGTCCAGCATAGTTGCCCCAGCACACGTGCACACGGATTTGATGTATTGGGACATTTCTCAATGCTCGATTCAAGGCCTCCGCATCCAAAAACTGGACAAATTCAACACGGATTATTGCATGTTTACTTTATTGATTTTGTTTATTTTTCGTTCGCCTCCACGTTACAACGGGCCACGTCCATGAAGTCCTCGTGGCTCAACTGAGACCACTTGGTATGACGACCCATGGCCAGGTCAGGACAGTCCACCTGAGGCGAAAAGGCCGCGAGAGTGAGCGTGGATGAAAAGAAAAGAGACGTATATAGAGACGTTCACCCTTTTGGACCTATAAATTGCAAGCACTGTTGGATATATGTACAATAAGCCACACACTTGCAATCAGCTGATGCATATGATGCAACCATGAAAGATATACTAAGACATAGACTGTTGAGGAGAGTTTGTTTGCCCTTCATGGACGTGGTAATGCGAATGACACGACAATGAGGCATAGATGTTAAGTGAAAAAGAACATATGTTTTCTCTCACTCCCACCACTCACTACTCTCACAGACACACCTCATGCTCCAGAATATGCATTGTTGTTCCCAAAGCCAAAAAATGTTTAACGTCTCAGCACATTTGGCGGGCGGATCTTTTGAGATTTATGCTATTCACCACCTGCCAGGTAGGGTTGTTAGTTGATATCAGAGCTGTCCCGATCCTCCAGCTCCACCTCCTCCTCTGTGTCCTCCGTATGCCAAGAATATTTTCTAGACAGAATGCCAAAAATATAGTCCAGATGGAATGCGAGAGGATGCCAGAAAATACGCCAGACAGAATGCGCAGAATATATGCCGGATAGGGTGCCAAAATGTATGCCACAGTATACATGTGGAAAAAAAAACACTTTCTTTGATGGCAAAACAAATGTCGAAATACATGGCAAAACACATGTCAGAACACACATCAGGACCGAAGTTGGACCACAGGTTACGGCACATGTCAGACTTCGTGGCAGGCAAAGCGTCAGAACAAATGCTAACAAGGACGTCAGAACACAGTCTATGATAGATGATGTGTCAGAGCAAATACCAAACTTGATGCAAAAACATGCGACAGAACATTCTGTTAATCCTGCCATCCTTCTTCCAGATCGCCCCTCAGGGTGGGGATCACTTGAAGTACAATAATATGTTTTGGGGGTTGGCCGCGTGGATAGCAAAAAGATATAAGCTAGTTAGTAGCTCTGTTAGATATTTAACATGCTCCTAGTAACTGGACGCAGGATAGCTCACGCTTCTTCAAGGAAGCCCCTACCCGCCCTAAAGGCTGCGCAAAAACTTCCTTGAAGAAGCGCTCGCATTATTCATTTGGTTCCTAGTCACAAGAACAAGGACGCTATTAGGGGCTCCTGGCATCGCTACTAGAACCAAGGACGCTACTAGGGGCTCCTGGCCGTACTACTAGGAGCATCCTTGCTACAGCTACTAGGAACAAGGACGCTATTAGGGGCTCCTGGCATCGCTACTAAAGGCAAGGACGCTACTAGGGGCTCCTGGCCGTACTACTAGGAGCATCCT